CTGCTTAGTTTATAAGATCACTCGTGGGTTGGCTCCTCCTCCTCTGGCTGGCTGCATCAGCCTAAAGTCCACCTCAACCAGGGTTACTAGAGGTGCGGCTAGGGGAGACTGCACCATCCCATTTAGGAAGAGTGCAATTCAGCCAGGCTGTATTTCACATTCCACGCATCCCATCAATGGAATTCAATACCACAACCATAAGAGAATCCTCATCCTACTACACATTCAAGCACAGTGTTAAAAGTGGCTCATTAATGATCAACAGTGTCAGCACTGATGTGTGGGTGTAGGTGTTAGTATGAGTGTGTATTGTGAATGTTTTATTATTATCATGATTTGCTCTTATCTGTATTCAGTGATGTCGTCTATTGTAAATATGTATAAAAAAAAGAATTTGGTATAACAATGTCGTGGTATTTGTATTCTTGCTTTTAGGATGTCTATCACCATCTGGCAAAGGGACTATCGGTGAAAACTAGCCTTTTGGCTAATTCGAGTACTTTTACATGTTTTTAATATGTTGAATTAATGTACACTGTCCCTTGTTTTAAATAATCATTACATTAAATTACCATACACATTACGATCTCATTAACCATGAACTGGCCTTTTAACAATAGCAACCACACACAAAGAATATCACTTTGTTTATACTTATATTTAACCTCCCGACAGGCGCATACACACACTCTCGAAATATGTTCCCTTTTGATTGCTTGGAACTAAATACTGTGTTTTTCATTTATTATATTGGCAAATTAATATGTTGTTATCCACACCCCTCCAAAACTTGCCGTGATGTATTGTTCACCACCACTAGACCACCACAGGAGTGGAAATCTAGCTTACACTTAAAAACATGAAACAGTGGGATAATATGTAATATTTAACAATTCATTTTTGTTTTGCTTTTACATTCTTTGTTCTTGCTTGACCGCCAAGTGTTATTCTAAGAAATGTGCTATTTATTATATTCAGGTTGATCAAACTACTGAAATAATTTTAAAATATGAAGTTAAACATTAGATTCCGGCTATTCAAGGTTATTTAGTCAAGTTGTCAACATTTGCTGTCAAGTTAAATGCTCCAATAATTAGAAACAGCGTGCCCCAGCCCAGTGTCACACAGAGAATGTTCCATAGGTTACTGCATGCATATCAGTCCTGTGTAATAAGCAGAGCATATGAATGAGCCCTTTGAAATAAGTTAATAACCATAGCTGCTACAGCCTAACTAAACCTTAAGAAAAAAATCCTTTAACTATAGTCAGTGCATTTCAGTTAGTTTGAAGTTAGGAGTTTTTTACAAAACTCAAACCATTCTCTGACATGCCCACTATACCCACTAGAGCAGTGGTTCTCAAACTTTTTCAATAATGTACCCCCTTTGAAAAAAAAATTCAGCCAAGTACCACCCTGATCAGCGCAAAAAACTATTATTTTGTTAAGGACAAAATGCCTATATAAAGAGGTACAGTACAGTGCTGCAACCATCAGTGTCTGATTTATTTAAAAACAACAACATTGTAACTGAGAAACACTTAAATGCTACATTTCAAATGTTTACAATCCATCACTAAATTCAATGGCCAACCAATTTTAACATCATGCAATAAACACTGAGACAACATTAGTTAGTTGCATTGAACTGATCTTTTTAATAAGTTGTACTTTACAATGTAGTGAAACATGGGCTTGAGCTTCACTGAGGATCTTGTCATTCTGACAGGGAGGCAAACTGCAGATATTACACTTCGCGTTTTGAAATATGTGTAACTGTTAATATAAAACCCACACTGCTCAAACTTCGTTACTTTTCCTAAACTTGGTATATTTATTTATTTTGGGGCGTAGGGAATGAAGAGAAAAAAATATATGAGCATTTTATGAGCATGGGATTTTTACCCCTCATATAAACATATGCATAATGCTGCGCTATACTTTGCGGCCACACGCCGTTGCCAAGCAGTTAAAAAACTATGAATGTGTCATACCCCTCCTAACGGGAAGAAACTCAGCTAACTGATGAGATGAACCATTTTTACCGAAACAAAACACAAGTCTCATAAGAAGGGTCTAAATGAGCCCTGAGCGAAAACATGCTAACGCACTTAGCACAAAACTCTAGGTAGCCTATAAATGGATCGATATACTTATTGGATCTGCACAAACAAGCTTAGCTAACATGCTGAGATTCCACAGATTATAGAAATATAAGAATCATCACTGAGCGATCAGAACTTGTGACAGGGGAAGCAATACAGACATCACACGACGTAGCTTTAGGCAGCAAAACACGGAGATATGCTCACCTTAGCTGTTATTCTGATCAAAAGTTGTGTTCAATTGCATTAAAACGAGAAAAAACGCGGCTGAAGGTTAATCCATAGGTTATAGCAATGTGTCTGTCACTTTGAAAAAAATGATTGATAATCCATAATTCCATTTTTATGTAAAAATCGGAGAATTAATATTAGCTGCTAATGGTAGACACCAGAGTGTATCGCAGCTTCCGATTTTGGCTACGCGTCACTCTCACTCCTTATTGGTAACGTGTGTGTATGTGGATCTTCCCCTCGATTCCATTGGCTCTAAGCGGTTAAAAAGAGATCGACCAAGGGGGGCCATAGATAGGTCAAATCCACCCAAATCACCCCAGAAG